CCGCCTCCCTAACCTGTCCTTCCTCCCACCTATCCCCTCCTCCCACCTCAAGCCCCACCTCCATCTCCTACTTACTAACCTCATCCCGCCTCCTTGATCTGTCCGTCCTCCCTGGACTGACCTATCCCCTCCCTAACTCCCCACCTACACTCACCTTTACTGGCTCCAGCCCTGCCTCCTTGACCTGTCTGTCTCCTCTCCACCTATCTTCTCCTTTATCCATCTTCTATCCCTCTCTCTCCCTATTTATTTCAGAATTCCCTTCCCCTTCCCCATTTCTGAAGAAGGGTCTAGACCCGAAATGTCAGCTTTCCTGCTCCTCTGATGCTGCTTGGCCTGCTGTGTTCATCCAGCTCTACACCTTGTTGCCTCAGATTCTCCAGCATCGGCAGTTCCTACTATCTCCGGAACTATATCAGATAGTTCATGACTATCATTTGTAGCTTCGGATTTTACCTACGAAGGAGCTCTAAGGTTTCCACTCCGGCTGGTGATTATTTCCAATTTAAGAAAGATATGTATGCACAAGAAGCTTTGTAACACAGGCGAAATGAAATGCACACATGAAACAATAAATGAAAGGTGACTAGGGTTCAAACAATGGGTTTAGGGGAGGTTTTTGAAGCAGATAAGACGAAGGCAGTTCCAGAGATAGGATCGAAATGGCTCGTCTGCTGAAACAGTGTGGGTAAAGGATAAAGGGAGGCACACACAAGCTAGAGATAAATGTTCAGGACTGGGGTGATGAAAGACATTGTAGACTGAGGCTGGGGCTTTGAGATCCAGAAAGAGCCTTGCCAGTGAATTGGATGCACAAATTTGTAACACTGCTTAATTTCCTAGAGTATCTGCCTACCTGGAGATGGATTGCTTTCCTTGATCTGTGAAGTGATATTTTTGAGACACTGACATTTGTGGACAAGGTCCATTTGTGAACAGAAACCAAAACAACTGCGGATGCTGTAACTCAGGAACAAAAACAAAGTTGCTGGAAAAGCTCAGCAGGTCTGGCAGCATCTGTGGAGGAGAAAACAGAGTTAACATTTTGGGTCCAGTGATCCTTCCTGAGAACTGTTCTTAGGGCAAAGGTAGATGGCTTCTTAACAAGTAAGAATGTGAAACGATGTTGAGGGTAGATGGGAATGTGAAATAATCAGATCAGCTATGTTGATCATGATCTTATTGAATGGACTTGAGGGATTGAGTGGTCTATTCTTTCTTCTGATTAACATGTTTGTATAAATACTTAATCCCAGATGTTTAAAGCTTTCGAGAAGATTTGTAGCTGTGGTTGTGGATGGGGTTGTAGACATGCTTGCTGAGCCGGTGGGTTTGGTTACAAACGTTTCATCACCCTGCTAAGTAACATTGTCAGTGCGCCTCCGGTGAAGCTTTACATTGATAGTGTTACCTAACAGGGTGACGAAATGTTTGTAACCAAACTCACTGACTCGGCCAGCATGTCTACAACCACACTTAATCCCAGAGTCCAGTTTTACAAGATTTTGTGTGAGCAGAAACATCAAAGGAGCCCCAATTTGCGCACTGTAACTGAAATTAGATTTATTAGATTTCTCTTTCAAAACAAAAGCAGATTATAAAAAGATTAATATGCTGGTTTCTAACAAAGAAAAATGTCCCTCAGTTTTCTCCATAGAAACATAGGATTTAGGAGCAGGCATAGGCTATGAGCCTGTGCTGAAGTTCTGGTATAAAACAGTAAAAAAAAGCCAATTTCAGACACATCAGCATCTTCAAACGGGGGACTAAATGAGCTGAACATCATTTTTACACTATAATTCAATAAAGAATCTAGGAGCAACTTTCTTATTAAGGATGTAGTTGCAATGTGCTGCAATTATAGGGAGTAGTTGGGTGCCCAGCAGAGAGATGCTTAAGCTAGGAAGCATATGAAGGACATAGGAATTAGATTTGTTCATGGGTGTATATATAAAAATGGGTGGGAGTTGACAGTAGAGTATAAAGATCAGCATGGATCTATAAAACTGAATTGCTTGAATCTATTGTATAGGCTTCATAACTTTACAAAACATATTTCAAAAAGATAAATACATATCTGAAAATTCTTCATTAAAACTAAGGTAACAATAAATTATTTCTAATCAATGAAGTTCTGATTATGTTAATAGTTATCTGATTGTGTTGATAATTACCTGATTAGTAAAAGGATTACAGGGAAGTTGAGGGAAAATGGTAAAAGTGGGTTCAGGTCTTAAAATCATTGCGTGGAAACATTTTCAAGGCAGATGCTCTTATGATCCTTAAAAACATATTTGTGCTGTTAACATTCCCTGACCTAATCTGCAAGGCAAGAGATTAAAGAAAAGCAGCCTAGCTGGATTAGTCTGGATAGCTCTTATTGGGCAAAGACAGACATGATGAACATAACGCAGGAGCTGGAATAGGCCAGTCGGCCCTTTGAGCCTATTCCAGGCTTCAAAAAGATTATGGCTAATCTTGCACCTCATCGTGCCACACCATCTCCATAAATAGATAGGTAGGAAAGTAAGTTGTGCACAAGGAAACTACACAGGAATATAGATAAGTGAGTGCGCAAAGATCTGACAAATAAAACATAATGGGTGAGAATGCAAAATTGTCCATTTTGGGCTGGAAGAAAGAGAACATTTTATCTAAAATAGTGAGAAATTGCAAAATTCTGAGATTCAAAGGGATCTGAATATTCTGAATATGTGTAGAGTCATAGAAAGTCATTGACTTATTACAGCGTAGAGAAAGGCCCTTTGGCCCATCATGTCCACGCTGGTCACCAAGTATCTATCTATCTATATATCTATCTGATCTCATTTTCCAGCACTTGGCCCGTAGCCTTGAATGCCATTGCATTTCAAGTGTTCATCTAAATACTTCTTAAATGTCTTGATGGTCTGACCTTTATTGGTCAGTGCATTGAGTATAGGAGATGGGAAGTCATGTTGCAGCTGTACAGGACATTGGTTAGGCCACTTTTGGAATACTACTTGCAATTCTGGTCTCCATGGAATGCTGCTTGCAAATCTGGTCTCCATGCTTTAGGAAAAATGTTGTGGAACTTGAAAGTGTTCAGAAAAGATTTACTAGGATGTTGCCAGGGTTGGAGGGTTTGAGCTAATTGGAGAGGCTGAATAAGCTGGGCTATTTTCCTTGGAGGCGAAGAGGTGACCTTATAGAGGTTTATAAAATCATGAGGGGCATGGATAGGGTGAACAGCCAGGGTCTTTTCCCTGGGATGGGGAAGTCCAAAACTACAGGGCATAGGTTTAAGGTGAGAGGAGAAAGATTTAAAAGGGACCTAAGGGGCAACGTTTTCACAGAGAGGGTAGTATATGTATGGAATGAGCTGCCAGAAGAAGTGGTGGAGGCTAGTACAATAACAAAATTTAAAAGGTATCTTGATGGGTGTATGAATAGGAAGGATTTAGAGGGATATGGGCCAAATACTAACAAATGGGACTAGATTAATTCAGGATATTTGGTTGGTAAGGGCGAGTTGGACTGAAGGATCTGTTTCTGTGCTGTACAGCCCAATGACTCTATGAATCTATTTAAGATCCTGAGGGCATTTTATACAATGGATGTAGAAAGGATGTTTCCACTTGTGAGAGAATCTTGAGCCAGTGGTTTCTACTTCAAAATAAGGGGTTGCTCATTTAAGACAGTGACAAAGATTTTTTTTTTCTTACAGATTGTTGTGAGTCTTTGGAACTCTCTTCCTGAAAAGGTGGCAGAAGCAGAATTTAGAACATCTTTAATCAGAGGGAGTTAGATTCTTGTTAAGCAAGGGAGTATAAAGTTTATCAGGGTAGATGGGAATGTGGAGTGATCAGATCAGACATAAATTTATTAAATGGCAGAGCAACTTTGAAGAGCTGAATGGCTTGGTTCTGCTCCTAATTGGTGTGTTTATGTCAACCTTGACCTTGTATATACTCAACACCTGGGTATCCACAACTCCCTGGAATTGCAACACCTTGGGCAAACACAACATTCCTCATTTCAGGAATGGATTCATTACAGCACAGAAGATGGCCATGGGATCCACTGAGTCCGTGCTGACTCTTTATAGGGCAACCCAATAAGAAGTTCTGGCAGCTGGCCATGGGATGGATGTTTGTAGTACCCTGCCATAACACTTAACATTCAAGGCTATGAGCTTAGTGTAGGAAAATGGGACTGGTGTAGGTAGTAGAATGTTTTTGTTCTTACTGACTTGATGGGCCAAATGGTCTCTTCTGTACTGTATGCTTCTATGATACCTGACAGTAATCCCCTCTTCTTTGGCTACATCTGCACTCAGGTGCCCTCTAAGGGGGAGCAGCGTTGTCCAGGGGCATTTAGAGACCTGTGGGCACCACAGGGGTTGGCGTGCATCATTATTCCAGAGAATGTTGTTTTGATTTGATCATTTTTTTTCAGTACTGTCGATTTCTGATGACAGTTTGATTTGTTTCTATTACACCTGATGAGTCTCTTATTTAAAAGAACAGAGCACCCAATTGGTCCTAGTCCCCTGTTCCATTCCCTGAGAGTACATTTCCCTCAAGAGCAGATGTCCTTTAGAAACCATTCATTGCCTCTGCTCCCACTGCCCCAGTAGGCAGTCAATTCCAAATCATTACCACTCTCTTTGTCTCTCCATTCCTCAGACCCTTAGCATGTAAAATCTATAGCTGTCTCTGGGTGTGACGCCGAGTTTTAGGCTGCCCAGCCAGAGTCCTTTAGGAATTACCTCGACTCTTTGAGATGTTGCCCTCTGTGCTGTCAATTCTCTCTGATTCCAATGATAGTGACGCCAGTCACATGGGCTGAGCTCTGCTCAGGAAGCCCCTGAGTTTACGTGGCGGCGTTCCCTGCTGCCTGGCAACAGGGAGCGATACATTGGAGAAGGATCGAGCCGAGGCGTAACAAAACACATAGAGACACTGGAGCAAGGAGCGAGCCTTACTGGAAGACTTAGTGAGCAGCCCTGAATGAGAAGAATGCATGATCTGGACGCGGTGGGCGAAAAGGCTGAGTTCAACCTTCTCTCCTCGGCCACGTTGACCTGCCTGACCGACTGTTCGGCCCCTCGATGCGGTTCCTGCTACACCTGCACCCTGCAGCTCAGGCTGGCCTCCACCAAGCAGTGGTTCCTGCGAGCTGGGGACATGACCAAGCAGCAGTTTTTAATCGGCCTGGTCCACAGGGTTGACAGCCTGGATCTCCTGCTGCAGCTCGACAGGCTTCTGCAGCCGACTCTCGGCAAAGACTTCACCCACTCCCGCTCGTCTGCTAACCCCAGCCTGCCTGAGGACTTCAGCACCCTGAGCTCAGACCGGTCCCTGAACAAGCTGGACCTGCACGGCTATGTGGCCAGCACCTGGGAATGGTTCACTGGCAGCAAGCATTGGACCAAAACAAACTACCTCCTGGGCTTGTTTCAGTTGTGCGATATCAAGCAGCTCCATAACATTGGGAATCTGATCCGAACACGTATAATCGCCAGGGGCACTCCTGAAATCCATGAGTGGAAAGGTATGAGAAGTATCCAGCTATGCATCCTGCCAAACACATTGAAATGTACCCTAGCACAATTTTCACATCACATCCTAAAGCCAGCCAAACGCAGGGCACCAGCTAAGTCATTGTCTCAGTGACAATACACTGTTTATTCTGAGAGCTGGAGCACCACACAATCCAAAATAGACTATATTAAAAACACAAAAATGCTGCAAAAAGCTCAGGAGATCTGGCTGGCATCTGTGGAGAGAGAAACAAAGATTAATGTTTCAAATCGATGATCTTCCAGGTCACAGATGCTCCTGATGTTTCATTCTTTCCTGAGTTGTGTATAACACTGGCAAGGCCAGCATTTGTCACACACCCCTAATTGCTCTGCAGAAGGTGGTGCTGAGCAATCTCCTTGAACTCTGTGCAGTAGATAGATGTACAGTGCTAGCAGAGAGAGTGTGGCAACCCTCCTGTGGCTCAGTAGTGTTCCTACCCCTGGACCAAGCAACCCAGGTTCAAATCCCACCTGCTCCAGAAGTATGTATTAACATCTCTGAACAGGTTGATTAGAAAACTAGAATAGAATCCCTACATACAGTGCAGAAGCAGGCCATTTGGTCCATTGAATCTTCACTGATCCTCTGATGAGCATCCCATCCCTGTAACCCTGCATTTCTCATGGCTAATCCCACCTAGTCTGCACAGTTTTGGATTGTGGGAGGAAACCTATGCAGAGAAGGAGCATGTGCAAATGCCACACAGATAGTCACCCAAGAGTGGAATTGAACCCGGGACCTTAGTGCTGTTAGGTAGCAGTAGTAGCCACAGTGCCACCCTAGGGTTAAAATAGGTTAAATTAATAAAAAAGAAATCGGGGAGCGAATCCAGGATCTTATGAGTATTTCCAGCATTTTCTGTTTTCATTTTTCAGATTTCCAGCATCTACAGTATGCAACTTAAAAGGACAGAATAGCCTGTGGTTTTGAAAGAAAATACATTTGCTCTGGCTTTTTATCAGGGGTCACCTGTAGAACTGGAAAGTCTGCAGATTTTGGGTTTCTTATAACCTTGGTTCCGTGCTTTTTGTTTCTGTACTTCCTCCTTATGCTGCTGACTGTGGTTATTAGGAGTTCCCATTTTATCCCTGTTTATCCCAGGGTCACATAAGAGAATCAGATTTGGTTCACACTTGTGGGACTGTTTGCAGTATCGCTATTATTGAGCAAGAAATTGGAACTACAAGAATGCTGGAGCAAAGTTCACCTGAAGTGGAACACAGAAGATTAAGGAGGAGAGGGAGATATTTGAATTCACAGGTTTTCAAAACAATGAAATATTTTGAGAAAATAATTAATGAATGATAGTTTCCATTGGTTGGCAAATTAATAGCAAAGGAGCCTAATGTTCAGGATTCTCAAAAATAATGAAATAATAAATTTGAAGATCAGAGGTTTATTAAAACATCAACTGCTTTACTACACATGCCTAGTGGAGCTAAAGCAATAACATAATTCAAAAGGACACTGGATAAATATTTGAGAGGGGCAAAAATATTTTTTACAAACTCAGGAAATACGAAGAGAAATGGGATTTGAGTAGAAGGTTCCAGCCAAAGATCATTGGACGCAATGATCTTCTATTGTGTCATTATTTCTATGCAAAATGAAATACAAAACAAACCTCCACATAAACCCATTAATGTGTTTTGTTTCATATGTTTACTTGTTAATTCCTGGTTGGATTTTTATTTGTGTATCAATGCATGTTTCTTTAAGAGGTCCAAACTTTCTTAGTACATTCTGTCATTCCAATATTAATTACATTTTGATACTGGAAATTTAAATACACATATCTACAGAGGTTTGGTGCAATGATTACATTCACAACAATAAAAGTATTAACGCCTTAAAACTAGCAAGTTAGTTGATAATTCAGGGATTTTTGTACATCCCAATATCATATTTTATTAATGTACCTTGACACATAATAGTAGACCTGTGATTATAATTTTATTCATTATATTTGGTGAATAGATTGTTTGTAAACATTCAGACTGGTTTGATTAGGTCAATTTGTTCAATATTTTTCTGTATTATGCTGAATACCACAAATGGCAAGATGTTCTACAGTTGTGACAAAGTGTTAAATTAATAAAGATACATTTATAGATGCTCAGTCCTTTACAAAAGCAAAATACTGCAATTGTTAGAACTCTGAAAAAAATAACAAAAATGCTTGAAAAATTCAGCAGTCAGTTAACTTCTGTGGAGAGAAACAGAGCAACATTTCAGGTAACAAGGTGTAGAGCTGGATGAACACAGCAGGCCAAGCAGCATCAGAGGAGCAGGAACGCTGACGTTTCGGGCCTAGACCCTTCTTCAGAAATGGGGGAGGGGAAGGGTGTTCTGAAATAAATAGGGAGAGAGGGGGAGGCGGATAGAAGATGGATAGAGGGGAAGATAGGTGGAGAGGAGACAGACAGGTCAAAGAGGCGGGGATGGAGCCAGTAAAGGTGAGTGTAGGTGGGGAGTTAGGGAGGGGATAGGTCAGTCCAGGGAGGACGGACAGGTCAAGGGGGCGGGATGAGGTTAGTAGGTAGGAGATGGGGGTGGGGGTGGGGCTTGAGGTGGGAGGAGGGGATAGGTGGGAGGAAGGACAGGTTAGGGAGGCGGGGACGAGCTGGGCTGGTTTTGGGATGCGGTAGGGAGAGGGGAGATTTTGAAGCTTGTGAAGTCCACATTGATACCATTGGGCTGCAGGATTCCCAAGCGGAATATGAGTTGCTGTTCCTGCAACCTTCAGGTGGCATCGTTGTGGCACTGCAGGAGGCCCAGGATGGACATGTTGTCTGAGGAATGGGAGGGGGAGTTGAAATGGTTCGCGACTGGGAGGTGCAGTTGTTTAGTGCGAACCGAGCGTAGGTGTTCTGCAAAGTGGTCCCCAAGCCTCTGCTTGGTTTCCCTGACGTAGAGGAGGGAAATCATCAAAATGGTTGGAACTTAAAACCATCTTCAGCATAATTCCTTTCAGAACCAATTCTTTTTACAATAATCAAGTGAAAGTATTGTACAGGAATTTGCATAATTATTGTATGATCAGTTACAGAACACCAAATGAATGGGCATGTGGTCTAGAGTGACTATTTTTGTATAATTAATAGAATTTTATTTGTAATGTTACTCATTAATTATAAATATGCAGATACAACTATATTGAAACACTGTCTCCTGAGTTAATATAACTTGTGTTATTCTTAACCCTCACCGAGTCTCAGTTGAGATTTCATTTATAGATAACCTTGAATGCTAACCTAGCAATTTTACTAAAAGGAGATATAGTCAGTTATGGTATAGGTTTTCAAATGTGGTTACACGGAACCTGAGAATTTATGCAATCATCACATTTCTGTCCTTTACCTGTCAGATTTTTGCATGCTACATCAGATACTTTATCCATAATAAAACATGTTTTGCAAGGATAGCACTGTTTTTCTTTGGCTAGCTGGCACTGTATTTTGGAAAATAAAAACAAAAGAACTGCGGATGCTGTAAATCAGGAACAAAAACAGAAGTTGCTGGAAAAGCTCAACAGGTCTGGCAGCATCTGTGAGCACCAGAGTTAATGTTTTGGTTCCAGTGACCCAATTTGTTGTATTTTAGAAATTAGGCTCTTTAGAGTATATTATATTACTGTCTTCCATGCTGACAAGTTTGAAAGTCAGTGCATTATTTTAGTACGTATTACAGTGTCAATGTAGTCTCCACAGGAGATAAACTTCTTTGGCAATGCCCATTTAACATCATTTAATGGATCATTAGATTAGATTTGCCCCTCAGAGTAGTTCAATCAAATCGATTCTTTGTGAACTTTATGAAATGCTTTCAAAATGGGGGAGAAATGGTATTCGTCATTTGAAATGCATTTGCCTTTGTTAATTATAAACAGAATATTTCTGAAAAAAGTCACATTTGTGGAAGCTTTTCATTTTGAACTCATCAGGACAATTTGAAAGAAATACTAATGTAAAAGGAAAATAACATTTGTACTGTGGCAGGTGGACTCTGATTGTTTGAGGTGTTGCCATAGAGAATACATCATTTAGATACTGACTGCCGATTAACTGGCAGATTGACTCTGATTTGTCAAGGTATTGGCCTGAGCAATGAACCAGAGAATATCAATGTAATGATTGGAACCAGGTGGATCTTGCTGACCGTGAGATCCTTGATTGGAAATTGTTAACCTGGGCCAATCAGGAAGCACTGGCTGACCAATATAAACTGGGGATTCAGCATCTCATCAGTTCAGGAACTGGCTGGTTACAGACAGTGTACTATGTACATGTAAAGACTTGGTTGACTGCAGTTATTTCAATTGCCTACCTACCTACCTACCTACCTACCTAGTTAAGTTGAACCAAGCATAGTGACTATGTTCTTTCTGTCTGCAAGGATCAGGGCCTGTGTATTAATGTAGATTCCAGTCTGTACAAGGGCACCCTACTACAAGCTAAACTGACAATGCCAAGCTTGCTGTCAGTGCAATTCTTCACACACTCAATGTTATTGAACAAATATTATCTAATTGCAGAATCACATGTAATGTTTTGAGTCTGTTTGGAGTTTTGCAAGTTTATCTTTCTATAGCATAATGAAAATGTGGTGAAGTCTCAATGTATATATAAATCTTTTACATTCCATTTTCAAATCTATTCATGAATACAATGATAAGTATGAATACTTCAAACACAGGTGAGAAGCAAAGTAGCAAAAGGGAATAAAGCATTTTATATATATATCCAACATCTTGGATGTGCTGTAAAATGGAATTCAGCAGTAAGATTAACACTGTTAGGGAAAATGGGAGAAGATTGCCATTTTGCCCAACATGATGAGATATTCTGATCCTCTCAGTGAGGTGATGATATGTGTTTTGGGGCTATAATTACTTGGCAATTAATTTCCAGGCATGTTTGAGATAATACTGTATCAGATATATTCTCTGTATGTTTTCAGATTTTTGTCTTTAGAAAACTACAAATAATTAAATTTAAATTTATAATCAGCTGCTGAAGGGAACGAGAAGATTAATCTAGACTTTGAGCAATTCATGCTTAAATTGCTGAAAAAAGATTGATTAGTGAAATAATCATTTTGAACATGTGCAACATTCTAAGGAATGACTAAATTTCAGAGGAACTGTGACCTCAATGCCTTATTAGTATGAAAAAAAATTGTAAAAATGTTGAACCCTTTCATCTATGTATATTTAATCATTCTTTCTTGAATTTAGAGCTACTTTCTATAGGTGACCATAATTTCCAGTAAACATAGTCTTCTTTTATATTGTTATAAACCAGCTGGACAAGTCAGGTCCTGGCTTGGTAGATAATAAGGTTTTTTTTTTAATCACTGTGAGGTGCATCATAAAATATTTTCACAAGTAGCCGTCAATGCACTTTAACAAAATTACAGAAAGATTTGTTACACAACAGAAAACATAATTCATATGGCAGTAAACTAGAACTATTGGAAGAATTACATTACAAATATCAGAAAGAAAGATTCATCCCTATTATCCCTATGCCCTTATAGGTGCTCAAACCTCACTGAAAAGATATCCTCATCTTCACTTTAAATCTTCTTATTCAGCTGGCCTGGCTGTAATCAATCTCTTTTCAACCAATTCCTGTGCATTCACTAGATGCTATTTTCCTCAGTCAATGTTTTTTCCAAGATCTTTAAAAAAACTCTAACTGCAGCTTACTAGTAATTTAACATTGGTTCCTTAAGCTCATGTCTTCATCAGCCTTGTAATATGTCTTCATGTCTAAACTGAATGGTTTTCTGCTTCTGGAAATTTGTTCTTACTGTCTTTTAAATATCTCAGGAGTTCTCCCCAGCCTGACTGCCTGGACATTGGTGTACTGTGTGCAGTTCTGGCCGCCCTGTTATAGGAAAGATATTATTGAGCTAGAGGGAGTTCAAAAAAGATTTACTAGAATGTTGACAGGAATGGAGGGTTTGACTTATAAGGAGAGGCTGGATAGGCAGGGTCTTTTTTCACTAGAATGTAGAACGTTGAGGGGTGACCTTATAGGGGTTTATAAAATCAGGAAGGGCTTAGATAAGGTGAATGCCAGGCATCTTTTCCCTAGGGTTGGGGATTTCAAGTCTAGGGGACATATTTTTAAGGTGAGAGAAGAAAGATTTTAGAAAAGACATGAGGGGCAACTGTTTTACACAGAGGGTGGTTCATATGTGGAATGAACTTCCAGAGGAAGTGATGGATGTGGGTAGTTTCAATGTGAAAAAGAAATTTAGATAAATACATGAATAAGAAATGTTTGGAGGGATATGGGCCAAGTGCAGGCAGGTGGGACTAGTTTAGTTTGGGATTTTGGTCAGCATGGACTGGTTGGACCAAAGGGTCTGTTTCTGTGTTGTATGATTCTTCTGCTGTTGTGGGTCTCTTTCCCCTTCATGAAGCTGCTCTGGCTCCTGCATCCCCACACCTCCTCTCTTTCCATCCTCATGGGTGAATTCCTTGTGCTCCCTCACCTGTTCCCATTCATGGACACATCTCCCAGTTCCCCCACCTCCTCTATCATGGCTGCACCAACCCCCCCAAGTCATAGCTGAATCCCCTGGTCCACCCCTCTCTCTCCCCATTCATCGCCACATCCCTGAACCCTCTCCTCACAGCTACAGGCCCTGACCACTCTCTCTCTGTTCCCCCTTAGTCATGGCCACTTCCCCAGATCCCTGTTCATGACTAAAAACCTTGTCCCCATCCCACCCACCTTATTCTTGGTCACAGTACCCAGACCCCACCACTGTATATGGCCCCACTCTTTAACTGTACATGCACGATTTACACACAGCACAGCTCGTATGTGCTAATGTCAGCATACTCTGCCTTGAAAGAAACTAAAATCTATTTATCCTCCATTTTAGAACCCACATTTTCAAATAATACCAATGTATTACAGACCTTCATAACCTATGCATTTTGTTAGTCTCAACTTTGTTTCAAGTTTTAAAAAACATTTTTCTTTGTCAGGGAGTAGTACAGAAGCAGTTCTAATCTCTGCGTGAACTGAGACTTTTGTATCCAAGTCTTGGTAGTATAAATTGAACACACGATTTTTTAACCTCGAGGCAAGAGTGCTAACACTGAGTTAGAAATATAATACTGGAAATTATTGGGAAGCTATTTCATGCATATACAAGCATGCAATAATACCACTTTACCAAATGCTTGTATCACTTCACTCTTTAATATTTGGTGTGAATTTCTGGCGACACTCATGCCAATATGACCTAAAGCCTGCTTTACAGCATAGTTGCTGACAGGCCTTCAGAAATAATAATGGTTTGATGCTGTATACTTCTGTCTTTCCCAAAGGTACCATTAATCTGAACACTCACTGTTCCTTTGGTATTTCTATGTATGTCACCTTGAAGAACTCAGGTAGCGTGGATGTGCAAACAACACTAGCTGCAAGTTCCTCTCCAGGTCACAGTTTTGTCATAACTATAAGAAATATATCATATGTCCTACACTGCTGCTGTGCCAAAACCCTGGACATCTCTCCCTAACAGCACTGTGCAAATACCTATGTCACAGTAAGTACAATAGTTCAAGAAGGCAGCTAACCACCTTCATAAGGGCAATTAAGGATGGGCAACAAATGCTGGCTTATCCAGTGAGACTCATACCTAGTGCACCAATCTACCATCCCCTAAAGATAGACGGAGTTAGTACTCAAATGCCCATCCATTTCCTTTTCTGAGTTCAATAAAGCAATTTTCTCATTTCATTCCTACAACGGGCATGTGACTTCTTTCTGAAGTCTGTATGGTTCAGACTGTATGGTTCCACTCAAGCTTTGTGTTCCTTAAGGGTGTTGTTGCTGTTGTACCCAGTACATTTTCCTTAGCAAAGTGTCCTTTGCTTAAAAAGTTCAAGATATGTTTATATTGTTCCATATAATCTTTTAGAAAATACTATTTAGAGCACATCTTTTCATAAAACCAATTAAGTCAGCTCAAATTAAATTCTGTGTGTAGCAGCACATTTTCAAACAAGCCTTACAAGGAGATAAGTTAAAACATGTTTAAAAACCTGTCTGCACATTTGCAACATTGTAGGCTTTGGATCATTTTAGCACAAGTATATTCAGATTTAAATGAGGTGAAGAAAGAGGGAGGTGATATAATGGGATATTGTACACATGACCTGGGTATAATTTCCCATTAGCTTCCGATATTATGTTCCCACAACACTTCAAAAGATGCTACATGTGCTTCAAATGTTTAAAACCCACAACAATGCCTTGAGCACCAAATCTACTTTGATACTGTAGTGTAGTACTGAAATGGTGCCACACTATCAGAGATAACTTTGTTCAGAAGAAATAATGAACATATTTTGCATCTTTTTGTTCTCAACAGGATGTAACAGGCTCCATGGCATTTTTGAAAAAGAGCAGGGCATTAGTATTTAAATATGTCCAATATTTATACCCCAACTACCACCACTAAATTAAAGAAACAATTTATCTAGTTCATTATCACATTGCTGTTCGTGTGATCTTTCTGGACACAAATTGGCAGCTGTGTTTCCTCTATTATAACAATGACTACTTCATGTTTCAGATGGAGAAAAAGACAAAAGTGTTACCTTGCTGCATGAATCGAATAGTACCTTTCAGACGGATGAACATCCTGAATTGGAGCCGCTGACTAAGATCTGGCCTGAATATTCAAATGTTTCATCTGAAATGCTTCCATTGAGCCTGCTTCAACCGGAAGACAATACTGGTAAGAACGGTTGGAGGCTGAAATCTGAAAAATACGGCGGATCCCAATGTGGACAATGTCACCTACATTGCTGTTAGTGAAGTTGGGTTTCAGAAGTCCACCAGTGGGTTTGCCTTGGTTAGGATAGAATTTTGCATCGAACAGCATTTAGAGTTTGAGAATAAGAGCTGTCTTTAAAGGAGAAAGTACTGGTTGTTCCTGGTAGAACAGCAGGAGCCTTTTCTGTGTCAGAAACCTAACTCCTGATTCATGTACTAAATGATTGCTCTTTAACAGAACAAAATAATGAGTACTCACCTGTGGGTTTCCTGACCAGTCAGGGAAGGCAGGTGGGATGACGTAGTCAATGCAGCAATGAAGGATCTCTATTGAAAAGGAATCTCAGCCAATCTCCCAGTGGGATTCCTGTTTGGAGGAAAACATCCAGCTGAAGGAGGAAACAGTGAGGTGTGGAAAGGCTGCTTCCCTGATCATAGGATTTAAGCAGTGAGGGCCTGGGGAGAAATTCTCTTCCTGGACAATGTGTCAGCCACATTGAGCATGTGTAGCTTTGGGTTGCTGAGGCCATGAGCAGTGGGAGACGCGTGGTGTTGAGGACCTTGATCTGGTTCTGGAAGGGTTCATCGACATCATGAAGTCTGGCAAGGTGAGTATCTCAGCTGGCGGTTCTCAGCCATTCACCTCCCGAGCTGCCATCTGAACTACATTCCTCTGACCAATACACTTCCTATCCAGCTTCCTCCTCAAATCTCAGCCCTATCATACAGCGCTTACATTTGCTGACAGTCTCATGTCCTATTACTACCACTACTCCCTCCTCAAAGGTTGACACTCTCTCAGCACTCAGTTCACTTATCAACTGCTTACCTTTTCACATTGCAGGAGAAGAGAGCCCATAACTCTGGGAAGAATGTTGGCAATTAATAATCAGCACTTAACGCTGAATTGATGTCAGCCGTCCATTAACGCAGTCATGATCTGCATATTGCTAACTTGGTATGGAATTTCAGCCATGTTCAGCACTAATCATAGAGTCATAGAGCTGTACAGCACAGAAACAGACCCTTTGGACAACTCGTCCCAATAAATAAATAAATCTCGTCCCATTTGCCAGCATTTGGCCCATATCCTTCTAAACTCTTCCCATTCATATATCCATCCAAATGCCTTTTAAATGTTGTAATCGTACCAGTCTCCACCACTTCCTCTGGCAGCTCATTCCATACACGCACCACCCTCTGTGTGAAAAAGTTGCCCCTTAGGTCCTTTTAAATCTTTTTCCTCTCACCTTAAATCTACACCGTTTAGTTTTGGACGCACCCACCCCAGGCGGAAGACCTTGTCCAGTTACCCTATCCTTGCCCGTCATGATTTTATAACCCTCGATAAGGTCACCCCTCAGCCTCCAATACTCCAGGGAAAATAGCACCAGCCTATTCAGCCTCTCCCCATAGCTCAAACCCTCTAACTGTGGCAACATCCTTGTAAATCTTTTCTGAACCCTTTCAAGTTTCACAACATTCTTCCTATAACAGGGAGACCAGAATTGCATGTAGTATTCCAAAAGTGGCCGAACCAATGTCCTATACAGCTGCAACATGACATCCCAATTCCTATACTCAATGCACTAACCAGTAAAGGCAAGCATACCAAATGCCTCCTTCACTATCCTACCTACCTGTGACTCTACTTTCAAGGAACTGCGAACCTGCAATCCATAGTCTCTTTCTTCAGCAACACTCCCCAGGACCTTACCATTAAGTGTATAAGACCTGCCCTGAATTGCCTTTCCAAAACTCACCCTCGGGTGACTATTTGGGTGGATTTCATGCATTCTCCCCGTGTCTGCATGGGTTTCCTCCGGGTGCTCTGGATTCCTGCCATAGTCCAAAGATGTGCAGGTTAGGTGGATTCGCCATACTTAAACTGCCATTAATGCCCAGGGATGGGTTAGCCATTGGAAATGCAGGGTTACAGGAACAGGGTCTAGGTGAGATACTCTTTGGAGGGTTGGTGTGGACTCGATAGGCTGAATGGCCTACTTCCACACTGTAGGGATTCTATGATCTCCCACAGGGACATTACTGGAGATGGAGCAGGGAGGAGACAGTGAGTATTTGCAGGTGTATTGTAGGTGGTGTGGCTAATGCCTCAAGTGTGTAACTCTCAAACTGAGAATGAACACGCTGCAGCGCTGCCCATGCCTCAGCAGGCGGAGCCCAGTACTCACCCACAGGGTCTCTAAAATTGTTCACTGTGATAGCCTGCAATAGGGTTAGCCCAGCTCAACAACAGGCAGAGCGTTTAGAAGAAGGGCAGTCTGCCAGAGATGCAGAGGGAGCCAATCCTAAAGGTGAGTGTGCTGAACAAGCCAGGGCCATACTGCAATGAAGCAGACAGGTCTGCAAGAACCAGATAGCAACTAGATCTGAATCAGAACTATGAGCCAATAATGATGTAGAGATATTCTGGTTCTCAAAGGAATGCTTACTTCATAAATGAACAATTAAGGTAATTTGTTTACCATTAATTGCGAGTGGATTTATTCCCCTTGTACCAATTACCTCCTGTTCAGTATTCTAACCAGAACATCAGGATGGAGATGTGCAACATTGTGTGGGGGCTGCCCTTAGATGATTAAAAATTCAGTTTTCAAGGGGCATTCATCTTTTACAGAGAGGTAAAACGTTGATTCCCAAAGCTTAAGTTCCCACTTTTCAGAAGTTGTGGTCCTTGCAGAGGGCAGGAGAGAATAACAGCTTTACATAATTCCCGTTGATGCGTATGGGAGTGAGTGCAGTGATCAGAACCCCTCCAGATAGTCTACAAAGAAAACACAAATAGTCAAAAATAAAAAAAAAAGTTTTGGAGAAACTCAGCAGGTCTGACAACATCTTCGGAGAGAATAAAACAGTTAATGTTTTGAGGCCTTTGGAACTGCTATCACCAGCAACCTTGACAAATTGAATGAAACACAGAACTGTCATATAAACTACAATTTGTGTCAAATATTGGGTTGTATAGAAGGTTCATCTAAAATGACTTCAGTGTTGTTTAATCTTACTTTTCAGACAGCTGCATCTTGGTGTGATCTTGCCAGCTACAGATGAGCCTGAGGAAACCTGCTGGGTTTCCCTCAGAAGGTGCTCTCAGCTGCTTTGAAGCCTGGATGGCTCCTGCACTGAGGTGCGACCTCCTCTCGCTGACGTTTTTGGGTCTCTGGCAGCAGGGAGGTAACGTGGCAGGGCATCTCAAGAGATGACACACCTAAGGTGTATGTCTATTGGATCTCCTCCTTGTCTGTGCAGAGTGACATCGTCCTCACTCCTTGAGGAGATGGGGCATTTGAAGGGCAGACAATGTCCCTTGGCCCTCTTTCACGCAGCCAGTGAATGAATACATCCCTGGGATTCAAGTGATAGTTTGAAGGTTCCTGCCTGTACCTGACAGGCACTGATTGTTCCACTGTACAGTATCAACAACCTGCTGGAGCCACAACATCAGACCGAACCTGGAGAGTCATGGTTTGCACATGATCTTTGACGCTTCTACCAGACCTTCCCCGGCTTGACTATGCATCTCTGTCTGCTCATTAATTTCTGAGTCCAGAGGCTCATCATCTATATTGTGCTCTACAAGGGGCTTATTCCCTGGCAGTCTCCAAGTGTCAGAGCCCTTGGCCAATTCTTCCTCCTCTAGATTTTGGTCAGTATCAGAGCTACTCTCAGCAGAATGTCATCCTGGACATACTCTAGATACTTTGTTCACTGAGGTGAATTCTCTGCACTGCTGAAGGGCAAGAAGCTCTTGATGTACATTCTCAGAGATTCATGACTGTTCCTTTTAAGAAGAGTGTTAGAAGAGGCTGGCAGAGATGGACCTGTCTTGACAGGGGAAAGCAGAGCCTGTATAGAAAAAAAACACAAAGCTTTGATCTGGTTTGTAGTGATTGGAACGAGGTGGATCTCGTTGATTTCAAAAGATCCTTGATTGGGGTTGTTACTCTAGGCCGATCAGGAAATCCTGGCTGACCAATACAAACAGGGGATTTAGAATCTCCTTAGTTCAGGGGGCTGACTCCGAGCTGGCTGGCCAAAGCCAGTGTATTGTGCACAAGTAAATAAAGGGTGACTTGGTGACAGGATACTGGCCTCTGTGCAGTTATTTCAGTGTTCAAGCTACCACCCTTCTCCAATGTGTTATTATTAGTGCTTGATGTGCAACTGGAAGTAGCAGATTGGAGCTTTCTCACTTGACGGCTAGAGATATCCAATCTCCACCTCAGCACAGGCACATTGCCCTTGCTGTCCTACAGCTCAACTGCCTGATCCTTGAAGGTATGTCAGGCATCTCTCTCCACCCCTGTCTCCGCAGAGCTAGCAGGACATGCCTTAAAACTAGTTTAAAGCCAAAAACGAGAAAGGAGCACTAAATAAAGGGCTGAAAGCACAGAGGAGTACTAAAGTCAGACAGTGATAATATCACTCTGATCTTGACCGAGATATGACAAAGTGATAACGGTAATATTTGGGACTTGGCTTACTTTCACATTGAACTCTTAAAGGGTTATCATTCCAAAGGCTCTGACACAAATATATTCATTCTGTTCTGGAATTGTTTGTTTAGATTTAACAGATGGCATTAATTACTGACTAGGGCTAAAAACTTTGAATACATTTGTGTTTGTACTGGAATGTAATAGAAGCTTATTGTAATGTGTAATATCAGACCTTACTGTTAATATAAGCTGGTTTTGCAGAAATGACTTCAAAGATATATTTCGGTTGCAGCTTCAAGTGTTAGTCTTTCCTTGAAGAGTGGGAAGACGAAGAAGAAGCGATCAGTGTCCTCGAGAACAGTTAATGAGTTACCTGTTGTGGTTGAACCTCCAATACCAATAATTATAACTTCACCTTTTGAGGCGACATCAGGAGTCACTCACCATAAGGACTTCATCCGCTGTCTTCCTATTCATTTGGCAAAATTTATTCTTGGTGAGGACTGAATTATTTTTCAGTTAAGAACCCAAATAGGTTATTTACTTCATAAAGCTTAGGAAGTGCGCATACTGTAAGAAAGCAAATAATTCAAAGAAGTTAATCTAAAACTGTGGAACTGCCACATTTTTAAGATGAACTCACCATAACATTGGCTTTCATTTATAAAAGACACACATTGGCACTGGGAAATGTGGTTTACACTTAACCAGTCTCTGATATATCCTTGAAAGCCACTCCATTTCTGGGAAAATTGGAACGGGGAACAAATAATGGCCCATCTCATTAAACAAAAATGAAAAAGCTGTTTAAGCTGCTGGATGGATCACTCTATATGTCTACAATGATCCTTAACAATATCAACAAATCACAGTCAGTTTGCTAACATTAAATCTTGACTGTAGACTTTTCAATAACCTAGCTTGCTGTTTCCAAGTATGTAAAAGATTAATTGCAATATATGTTGACATTTCCATTGAGGTTTCAAAATGTATGTTATGGACAAATATTTCACCATCTCTATCAGGTCGATTATATCTTTAGGACATAATGCTAACTGTAAAATCATGACTGTGCGAACAATAAATTACAGAATATTCCTGTTGCATGAATACAATTTTCCTCATGGAAAGCTGTACCCTTAACCGTAGCTCAAGCAAAACACAGCAAATTACCTTAAAACAAGAGAGTGAGATTCCCTGAAAACTCTTCAAAGTCTATAACACCTTTCAAACTCAGATTTTCCATAGACCTCTTATTAATTACTGGCATGTTGTAAAATTAGGAAGCCTATTTTGCCATCACACATTGGCCAAATTCAGACTTGTTTTGTGTAGTTGAGGTAAATAGAATGCCTGCTTGAAGGGGAATCTAGATTCTTTTAAAATTTTAATTCATGGGATGTGGGTGTCACTTGCTAGGCCAGCATTTATAGCCCATCTCACAGGGCAATTAAAAGTCAACCACATAGATGTCAATCTTTTCCTGACAATTGGAAATTGTTTCATGGTCATAATGTGACTCTTATTTCCAGATTATTATTGAATGCAAACTCCACCATCTGCCATGGTGGGATTTGAACCAAGCTCCCTAGATTAATAGTCTAGTGATAATACCACTAGGCCAATGCCACCCCATAAATATGTGAAGGTTGAAGGAATAGAAAGTTAAGTCTTTGAGGAGGTAATGAGCAAGTTAAACAAAGAAGAGCCAGTAGACATAATCTATTTGGATTTCCAGAAGGCCTTTGACAGGGTGCCGCATAGGAGGCTGCTAGATAGGGTAAGAGCTTGTGGTGTTGGAGATAAGGCAATGGATAGAGGATTGGCTGAGTGGCAGAAGGCGGAGAGTGGGGATAATGGGGTCTTTTTCAGGATGGCAGATGTTGACTAGTGGAGTTCTGCAGGGGTCCATGCTGGGCAATTCACTTTATACATTAACTATTCACATTATATGCTTACTATTCACGTTATACATTAATGATCTGGATGCAGGAACTGAGGGCCTTGTTGCTAAGTTTCCAGTTGACACAAAGATAGGTGGAGGGACAGGTAATTTTTGAGGAAGCATGGAGGCTGCAGAAATACTTGGACAAGTTAGGAGAGTTGGCAAAGAAGTGGGAGGTGGAACCCAATGTAGGAAAGTATAAGGTTGTGCACTTTGGTAGGAAGAGTAGAGGCATAGACTATTTTCTAAATGGAGAAAGGCTTCAGAAATCTGAAGCATGAAAGGACTTGGGAGTTCTATTTCAGGACTCTCTTAAGGTTTACTGCAGGTTCAGTTGGGATTAGAAAGGCAAGGGTGAGAATACAAGAGCAGAGATATATAGCTGAGGTTGTATGAAACTCTGGTCAGACTGTATTTGGAATATTCTGAGCACTTTTGGGCCCTCTATCTAAGGAAGGATGTGCTAACCTTCGAGGGGATCCAGAGGAAGTTTACAAGAATGACCCAGGGGATGAAGGGCTTATGACATGAGGAGCGGTTAAGGATTCTAGGTCTGTAATCAATGGAGCTTAGAAGGATGAGGGGGGATCTGATTGAAACTTACAAAATATTGAGAGGCCTGGATAGATGGACATGGAGAAGTAGGAGAGACTAGGACCTGAGGGCACAGCCTCAGAGTGAAGAGAACTGAGATGAGGAGGAATTTCTTCAGCCAGAGGGTGCTAATTTGAGGAACTCATTGCTGCAGTGGGCTGTGGAGGCCAAGTTATTCAGTGTGTTTAAGACAGAAATAGATAAGTTCTTGATTGGTAAAGGGATCAAGAGTTATGGGAAGAAAGCAGGAGAATGGGGTTGAGAAACGTATCAGCCATGATTGAATGGTGGACCAGATTCAATGGGCTGAATGACCTAATTCTATTCCTTTATCTTATGGTCTTACTGGGTGGAAGGAGGCTTGTCTAGTCCCTGGTAAAAACTACATTTTCTTAAAAAGAATATACTTCCTACTGGCCAATGTTTTAACAGCACTTGATACTCCTTTTGCTTTCAGGCTCCTACCACGTTTCTGATGATTTTTGGATATGATTTTGCAGTTAGCTATTATTTTGCTTGCTGTCTGAATTGAATACCATTGAGCTTTGACTGTCTTGTCAGAAAAATAAAGACAACTCAACATATGAGAGCAAGTAGTTTGAATATTGATGAGGCTGGATTGGAATATTATATCTCCAGAGCACTTTAATGCAACCATAGCTGCAGCAGTCAAATATCTGGTATTATTATTTACTTATTAATCATGGTGGAGGATAAATCTTCATCACAGGTGATCTTCAGAGTACTGACATACTGAGAATAAGTTGGTGACTGTTGCTGTGAGATGGATCCTCCCCACAGCTCATCCTGTTGTAAAATCAATCTTGCAGTTTACCTGCCACCATCCTCATTCTTGGTAGGGATTTATAGATCCCTCTTGGTTTAGTGCGGTGGAGGAAAACCACCCAGCAGACTAATAAGAAGAAGCTCATGTCTTAAACATGAAGTCATTTGTTACAAGGTAGCAACTAGCTCCAAATTACATTGAAATGATGGATATAGTTGTTGAGACTGTGAGGGAAACCTCAATGTTAGGTCTTACTCCTTCAAGATCCAAAGCCGTCCCCCTGCTTGAGTCCACTTGACTTTGTCATCTTTGGACAGTGCTTAATGCACTATTTGGCTTTAAGCATTTCTGACCCTTACATGATAACTGTGATGTACGTCAGTCTGAAGATAACTGCCATTTACAGATGTCAAATTAATTTTCATGAAAACTCATAATCAGTTTCTTACTATGGGAATTTTCCATGAATTTCAGGTTTACCAATCCAATTTCACAGTTTAAAATCTACAGAAAGTTTAGATCCACTTAATCTATGTAATCTTAATAACAGTACTTCCTTTACATATAAAAATGAGGATTTTTTTTTCCATTAGGCTTTCTGGATCACAGCTCTCTCCAAAACTGTACGCTTGTGTCACGCCACTGGGCCTACCTGGGAAGGGAGATTATGAGGGATAAACTAGCCATCCAATGCATTTTTGATGAAATCAAAAAATTGCAGGTATCATTAACTGTCCTTATGCATGTTCAGATTTGTTTACTATTAACATTTCTGGCAGTTGTCCCTTATCTGTGTTTCTTAGCAATTTGACTTGCGTTGTATATTTTGTAAGTAAGATGAGGGTCTACTTCATAATGAGATACTCTGTCTAAGAAGGATGAGATATTAATTGTGAAAAAATAATTGTTTTAATTATCATTTATAAGATATCTTGAGATCATTGACATATTTGAGGATCTCTCTGTGTTGCCTTCCCTGCAGGATCAAGTGGATATTTGGCAGAAAATGTCTGAAAAGCTGTAATTAAGTTTTGTATTTGATTATTTTATGCAATCAGTAACAAAGAACGGAGCTCAGCATTACTTGGGTAGACTACCTCCGAATCTGGTGGAAGAAATTTTCATCCAATTTTAATTTGGTTCTGATAAAAGGTTTAAAAAGATTTGAGAAAAAACGTTTTGAGTGTTTTGAATTTGAAAATGTGACAGCTAGAATACTCAGACTGATACTGCAATTGTCAAATTAATGTAATTGTGTAAAATTTTATTGAAAGCAAGTCGACAGATTAAAAACCAGGGTAATGTTTAATAAGCGTACAATTTAATCTGGTGTGCAAGCTGTGGAGACTTGGGAAACTAAAATCCTCCCTGTGGAAGTTACAAAATTTACATACAGAGAAAATTTTAGGTTTGCATGTTCTCTGCATCTGCTGGAGTGCATCTCCTTTGCAATGCACTGTGGAGATTTAGGGCAAGTCTGGAGCTTTTGTAGAGCCCAGCCATTTTATTTCCACAAAGGTTCATATTCTTTGCAGAATTACTGCCACATGAATATTGGCAATACATAATAGAATATAAACATTACACTTTAAAATCAGATATTATTGTTTAAATGAAAAATTCTTTGGTTTATTTTAGTCTGAGGGGTAAGCAATGATTATAGTATTTATGCCAAGTTATTGAAGATCATTTCATTTCAGGCCTTATTTACAAAATACATTCGCCCTGATAGAGAGCATGTAAAAATGACAAATCAGGAACAACTGAGTTGAAGCCCATCTCAAATCCATAGTGGGAAATCCTGAAACTCACAATGGGAGACCCTGACCCCGACCATGGAGGACCTTGAAACCCACCATGAGACATGCTGAAGCCTTAAATAGGAGAACTTGAAACTCATCATGAGTGCCCTGAACCCCACCATGGGAGGGCAGATGTGACAGGTATGCCTTCAATGGGGAGGATGTAAAGGTGAATGCCAGTTCTCGCATCAGGTCAATTTTGATTTGGGTTGCACCTCTTCAGAAAAGCATTGATTTAGCATCGAAGACGTGTGTAGAACATATGTTGACACCGAGGAGAACTTCCAAAGATAGTAGGAACTGCAGATGCTGGAGAATCTGAGACAACAAGGTGTAGAGCTGGATGAACACAGCAGGCCAAGCAGCATCAGAGGAGCAGGAAAGCTGATGTTTCGGGTCTAGACCCTTCTTCAGAAATGGGGGAGGGGAAGGGGATTCTGAAATAAATAGGGAGAAAGGGGGAGGCGGATAGAAGATAGATAAAGGAGAAGATAGGTGGAGAGGAGACAGACAGGTGAAGGAGGTGGGATTGGAGCCAGTAAAGGTGAGTGTAGGTGGGCAGTTAGGAAGGGGATAGGTCAGTCCAGGGAGGACAGACAGGTCAAGGGGGCGGGATGAGGTTAGTAGGTCGGAGATGGGGGTGGGGCTTGAGGTGGGAGGAGGGGATAGGTGGGAGGAAGGACAGGTTAGGGAGGCGGGGATGAGTTGGGCTGGTTTTGGGATGCGGTAGGGAGAGAGGAGATTTTGAAGCTTGTGAAGTCCACATTGATACCATTGGGCTGCAGGGTTCCCAAGCGAAATATAAGATGCTGTTCCTGCAACCTTCGGGTGGCATCGTTGTGGCGCTGCAGGAGGCCCAGGATGGACATGTCGTCCAAGGAGTGGGAGGGGGAGTTGAAATGGTTCGCGACTTGGAGGTGCAGTTGTTTGTTGCGAACCGACCGCATCCCAAAACCAGCTCAGAGAATACCCGCCTCCCTAATCTGTCCTCCCACCTATCCAATCCTCCCACCTCAAGCCCCACCCCCATCTCCTACCTACTAGCCTCATCCCGCCTCCTTGACCTGTCCGTCCTCCATGGACCGACCTATCCCCTCCCTAACTCCCCACCTACACTCACCTTTACTGGCTCCAACCCCGTCTCCTTGACCTGTCTGTCTCCTCTCCACCTATCTTCTCCTTTATCCATCTTCTATCCGCCTCCCCCTCTCTCCCCATGTATTTCAGAATCCCCTTCCCCTCCCCCATTTCTAAAGAAGGGTCTAGACCCAAAACGTCAGCCTTCCTGCTCCTCTGATGCTGCTTGGCCTGCTGTGTTCATTCAGCTCTATACCTTGTTATCTCAGAACTTCCAAAGAACTTTTTTGATTCAAACACAGGATATGGGCGTCGCTGGTTGGGCCTGCATTTATTGCGCTTCCCTAGATGCCTTTGAGTTGGTGGTGGTGAGCTTCCTTCTTGAGTCGCTGCAGTCCAAGTGTTGCAGGTAGTAGACCCACAATGTCATTTGGGAGGGAATTCCAAGAATTCGACTCAACAGCACTGAAGGAACAGCAATAAATTTCCAAGTCAGCACAGTGAGTGGCTTGGTGGGGAAGTTGCAGGTGGTGGTGTTCCCATGTATCTGCTCCCCTTGTGCTTCTAGATAGTAACGTTAACTGATATATATTGAAATATGTGCACTCAGTTCTTTAGGAGCTGCGTTTATTCATCGTACCAGTTGCACCTTGCTTTAAATAGCAGCTGTTTTGCTATTTCTATGAATCTATAAGCTACCTCCATCTGTAGTACAAAATTGAATTCAGGACAATTTCATTTGTTCTTGTTTTTTCCTGGGGTGTGGATATCATTGGCAAGGTCAGAATTTGTTGCCCATTCCTAATTGCCCCTTGAACCAAGTGACTGCTCCAGAGGACAGTTAAGGGTTAACCACCTCACTGTGGTAGAAGACATATAGAAACCATACCCAATCAGGAGGGCAGTTTTCCTTTCCAAAAAGGATATTAGTGAACTGCTTGGGTTTTTACAACAATGGTTTCATGGTTATCGTTAATGAGATTTGTTTACAATTCCAGATTTACTAACTGAAATTGAATTATCACAGTGGGATTTAGCTCAGGCCTGTGGCTTATTAGTCAAGTGATCTTACCACTATGCCAACATCTCCCCTGAGATCAGTTGCACTTGTTCACCCAACAAGCCAATTCATTATTAAATGCATCTCTTCATAAGTGGAGTTGCCAAAAATAAAGTAAAATATGGGTTCTAGAATTGTTCATTCATCTGTTTGAATGGACTTGAATCTAACTGTGTTAGGATAGTTGTCCTCTCCATGTTGAGTGTAAGTGTAGAGTGTAAGTTAAGCTTTGATACTTTTGATGTGCACAAAACTGCACCCAAATTATTCATTTCAATCAGATTGTAGGATGGTGAGTGATATGAGAAAGTAAAAATTCACTTTAGTGTACATATAAAGGCATATGTAATAGGACCAGGAGTAAGCCATATGGCCCATCAGACCTGCTTTGCCATTCAGTTGGAGCTTGTGTGAACATTATCGTCAACTCCACTTTCCTGCTTTATTCGCATCATCCTTTGATTCATTTATTTTCCAAAAATTTATCTCAGTCTTGGGTATAATCAAAGAAGAAACTTGGATAGACAGTTCAAAAGATTGACAAAACTTTGAGTGAAGAATCATCTAGCGTCATCTCATTCTTAAATGACTGTCCCCTTATTCTGAGATGATGACCCCTAGTTCTCAGCTCTTCAAATGGGGGAAAACAGCCTTTCAGCATCTACCCTGCTAAATTACTAAGAATTACATACGTTTCAATGAGAACACCTCTCAATCTTCTAAACTCTGGAGAATATATGCCCAAGCCAACATAATAATCTCTGATTGAAATGACTGATTTGTGTGCTGTAGGTCTGAAGTTTTGGTAGCTCAGAAGGTTTGCTCTGAACTGGCTCTACCAAACTTGATCTGGGAATATTTAAGGCTAACACTATGTTCAAGAAGAGGAAATCTATTCCATTTATTTGAATGGACATTCTCCAGGTTAAAAAGTTGCTATTTTCTAGTTATGTGTTGGGGCCTATTTTCAAGCCAAAACTGCAACCAATTCTAGCCCCATTTATCCACATCAACTCACAAGACTTGTGTCTTGTTAAAAAGCTACTTCCAAAAACACAAAAATCGCAATGGGATGGCAAATGTTTTTTTAGCAAAATTAGAGTACTGGAAGAAGAACATTGATGGGTGAAGTGGCCTATTCTATTCCTTTTTACTCACATTTTACTGATTCTGTTATAGCAAAGGAACCCCATTGTAACAGCTAAATCACGTCTTTGCCAGTTTCTTTTTATCTAGTTGGTGAAAATTAGGGATATTGATCTGGAGCTTTTCCTGAGGTTACCAGACACATCCAGTAGCTAATTATATAGTTACATTTATGATTGTAAAAGGATCAAGTAAGAAACTTAAACATTCTTTGGACAAATTGGGAATGGCCTGAAAACATTTTTTTTTGAGGTAACTTTCAAACTCGGTTCTGATTGGCAGTAAGGTGTATTTTTTGATACAATTATCTTTACCGTAAAAAATGAAAGAAAATAGGTGACACGATAAAGCTGGAAACAGTGGAAAATATAAAGAAAGAAATGAAAAAAAAATCACACAAAGGAAAACATAAAGGTATAGGACGAGATAAAAAAGGCAGAATGCACAAAGAAAAGGCAAAGGAAACATCCTTAGAAGCATGCGTCAGACAACTAGAAAATAAAGAAGTACACATTTCTAAGAATTTCTTCAAGAAGAAGACTGACTCAAAAGTAGTACAGGTATTTATGAGAACTTGTCTCTTAGAATGTTATCTATCCAATTATATGTAAATAAGTTGGCTGTATTTTCCACTCA